TGCCTAAAGAACCTAGCAGTCTCGTCCCGACACGACTTGGCAATCTCGCACGGCGTCGCACCGTTGGCCGCATGCAAGCCTCCAGTATAGCTAATAAACTCGTGCGTCGAAACCTCGCGGAACCACGGCTCGCGGCGCCAGTACACATCAGCGATCTCCTCGCCATACGCCGGTCGAGCGGTCTCGGAGCCGAGGTACCCAAGGATCTCGTTCACGTCGCGCATCACATAGACAACGGGTCCGACGGCCCGACCATAGTCTGTCAACAACGCCCGGTTTGTGCTCGACTCGACGATCCCGCCTCCGGTCGAGATGATCGTCCGCTTGGGGTTCTCGGTGAGCAGGTCCGAAAGGATCTTGCTCTCCATCGTTCGGAACGCGGGCCAACCCTTGCTGCGCACGAATTGGGAAACGAGTTCGCCCGTGTGCGCCTCGAAAGACGCGTCGGCGTCGACAAATGTCCAGCCGAGCGCCGCGGCTGCGATGCCGCCGATATGTGTCTTGCCCGCGCCGCGCATGCCAACGATGATGATCGTCGCTTCGGGGTCGTACTTGGCCGCCGCTACGCCGTTGTGGGTGAGCTCGATACCCTCGACGTCAATGCCAATCTACACACACGCCGGCCGTTAGTCCATGCATATGATAAGATGAGATGGAATGGAGATATACCTTGTTTGTGAGATCGTCCCACCAGTTTGGCCAGGTCTTCTCGACGCATCGCTTCTCTTCAAGAATCGTTCCCCCAACCACGGTGGCCAAAACGGAAAACGCCATTGCGACACGGTGGTCATCGTAGCAGTGCACCGACACGTTCTTGTTCAACGTCTCGATCGGCTGGCCGTACACCTCGAGGCCGTCGTCCAGCTCCTTGGTCTTGACGCCAAATTTGGCTAAAGTGGCGAGGGTCAATTATATGCGCGCCTAATTTTTTGATAATTTTGACTCACCAAGTTCGTCGATCATCGCGCGAATACGGTTACATTCCTTGACCCGCTGGTTCGCAATACCCAAAATACGCGTCGTGTTCTTGGGCGCATCGGACTCGAGACCTTCAGCGCTACCATCACCGCATACAGCCGCGAGCGCGACAGCGGTCAAAAACGCATCGGTCATGGTCTCCATATCCACGAGTCCGATCGCCTTGAGCTGGCCGATCGGCGGACCGGTCACGGTCGTCTCGTTTTCGCTCTGTTCGACCGTGCAGCCCATGCGCTTGAGCACGTTGACCGCAAATCCGGCGTCGCCCTGCAGGGACGAGGTACCGATGTTCTCGATTGTGCAGGTCGTGCCGGTGATCGCGGCCACGGCCAACGGATACGTCGCGCTGCTCGCGTCGGATTCGATCGCGTATTTTTCTGGGTTGGTGTATCGTGCGCGGGGGATGTCGTACACGTCGAGCAAGGTGCCGTCTGCTCCCTTGCGGCGCGTGACCTCGACGCCGAATGTCTTCATCATCGCGAGGGTCATGTCGATGTACGGCTGGCTAATAACTTGACCACCGACAAGCTCGAGCACGACGTCCTCGTCCCGGGCATAAGGCGCGCACAACAAGATACTGGACACGTACTGACTCGACACGCTCGCCGCGAGCTGGATCGTACCGCCCTTGAGACCGCCGGCGCCGATATGAAGCGGCAAGCATCCTTCGGACTCGATGTAGTTGATCTTGCTGCCGTTGGCGCGGAGCGCATCGACGAGCGGGCCGCACGGGCGCTGTTTCATGCGCGCGTTACCGGTGATAAAGGTGTATCCCTCTGGGAAGGCTTCCGACGCGGTCGCAGAGGACGGATCGGGTCCGACGAGAGTGCAGACGGTGGTGAGGAAGCGCGCGGCAGTGCCGGCGTTACCGAGGTAGATCTCCTTGCCGACGGGCGGGATCGTGAAGGCTCCTCCGCCGCCGGTGACGACGAGGGTCTCGCCACCATCTTCCCAGGCGAATTTGGCACCCTATCAGATTGTTAGTAAATATATGCGATGATTGGTACTATGCTCACCTTGAGCTCAATGAGCGCGCTCATCATGACCTGGGTGTCGTCGCTGTGCAGCAAGTTGCGAAGGCGACAAGTGCCGTTGCCGAGAGCGGCGAGCACGAGCGCGCGGTTGGAGATACTCTTGCTACCAGGGGTGCTCATCCGGACTGGGGTGTTGCGCGGGATACCAGGAATAACGCGGCACGCCTCGGCCAGGACCCGACGAATCACATCGTCCTTAACACCAGTAGCCTTTTCCTCGTATGTCTTGCCGATGCGCGAGAGCAGCACGATCTTCTTTTCAGGGCCCGAGTTCTTCTTGTCGATCTTCATGATATCGAGCAGGCGGTCGATGGTCAAGAGACGCGAGGCCGGAACGGCTTGGATGCGCGAGTCCTTGACCGATACGGGCAAGCCGTACGCCTTGAGCGCGCGAGTCAGACGACCAACGCCGACTTGGCTGAATACGCCGAGTTGGCGCGCGACTTCGCCCTCGAGGATCATGCCGATAGCGACACACTCGCCGTGGAGGATGGTCGGGGTCAAGACGGCTTCGATCGCGTGGCCGATGGTATGACCAAAGTTGACCAGGTTGCGCAAGCCAGTCTCGCGCTCGTCGAGGGTAACGATGTGCGCCTTGACGCCGATGCTCTCGGTGATGACATGTAGAAGTAGGGACTGGGATTCGGAGCGGGTAGCGATGGTGCGGCCGGCGTTGGTCGAAGCCGAAGAGGTGGCGATGGCGGAGAAGAGAGCAGGGGCAGAGGATTCAAGCATCGAGTACTCATTTTCGTTCCAGATGGCAGCGGTCTGAAACAGTCACGTGAGGATCGTCGGCCGACAATAAAACATTTTTTATTTGACTCACCTTGATCACCTCGGCCATTCCGTTGACAAATTCACGTTGGGGGAGGGTTTCGAGGAAAGCGGCGTCGATGAAGACGTAGGAGGGTTGCCAGAAGGAGCCGATCAAGTTCTTGCCGTGAGGGGTGTCGATGGCGGTCTTGCCCCCGACGGAAGAGTCGACCATGGCCAAGAGGGTGGTAGGGATTTGGACAAAGCGTACGCCGCGCATGCTAGATGGAAATGTTATAAATAAAACTAGATGTATGCCTTTGAATACTTACAAAGTCGCAGCGACGAATCCGACCAGGTCGCCGATCACACCTCCACCGAGTGCAAGGATGACGGTATCGCGAGTGCAAGCACTATCGAGCAAAAAGTCTTCGATCTCGGCCTTGCCCTCACGGCTCTTGCTAGTCTCGCCCGGTGGGATGACATGAGTCAGGAAACGAGAGGTGTTATCGGGCCTAGCAGCAAGCGCATCCGCAAATGCAGATTCAAACGAGGCGAGATGGAACCCGGCGACACGGGTATCGGTGATCAAGACATAAGTCGAAGCAGGGAGGGTCGTAAGGACGGTCTCGGCGATGTACGGAGTAAGATGAAAGCCGCAGTGGATAGAATCCTTTCCGAGGATGGAAACCTTGGTGAGGTCGGGTTGTTCGACGCTGGCAGTGGCCATGGCGTAAATCGTGTGAAGTACGGGTAAGCCCTAGCAAGTCGCCCTCTATATAATCCGTGCTGTGGGAGTTCTCCAGGGGCGTGCGACCAGATGCTGGCTCAAGTAGGCTCGATTGCGGTCTTGCTGGGACCCGCGGGAAAGTAGACACCTCCGGATCTAATCCTTCCGCCCGGGTTCCGGAGCCGGAGTATGAACTGATACACAAGTTTATTATATTGAACAATACGAGTCGACGTGATGCAGGTTGATGCCATGCCAGAGGTAGTTAATACCTAATGAATGTATGGGAACTGCGAAAATAAAACAATAGTACCTGGCCGCGGCAAAGGGCCCGAATCCGAAGCTCACCTGATCGGCTCTAGATGACGGAGGGGAGCCGGCGGGCACGTTTGTTTGGTGAGGATCTTACTGGTGTAGCCAGGTTCAACCGAGCTCAGATTGCGGGGGTGAGAGCTGAGCTACGATGCATCTTTAGCTTAGGGGTCGGAGGGGTTGGGTTTGGGCTCCTCGCTGTAGGTGTGTGTTGCGATCGAAAGGCAGCTAGCGTCTAAGATAGATATTTTGTGTCGGATTTACAGAATATAGGTAAATCACGGTGTTGTGAGTACTCTTGGCTGTGGAAGTCGGGAACAGTCTGGGCGCAAAGTTGGTCGGATGTTCTCAGGCTGGGCGCTTAGGTTCTCACGCGCCACCATCAGCCACCAGCACCCATCGGCAACACACGATTGTTCCAAGTCTTCTCAATAGTTCAACTCTGCCCGATCACATTTTCGCGTCCAATCGGGGCCTCCGGCTTGGCTTGTCAACTTGAGCAGTGGACTAGATTCCGGACATGCCACCGAACTCGACTGTGACGTCTGCGTTTGAATCTCACCGGTATGACAAACGTGACCTCGAACATCCCTACGGAACATCTCAATAGTTCTCTACCTGAACGTGGATACTTATAAAAGCAATCCGATTACCCACGTCCATATATACACCAGAACCTGAAATTCACCGGCACCCTGATCGTCTTACCACGACCCCCACAAATATACGCTCAGCGCACTCGACCGTCTCGATTCGGACGAAAGCGAAATGGAGTATTCATTGAGCGTCCTGAGCACCTGAGATCATCCCACTCCAGTTGAAACAAACACGTTCTGATGGGTTGAAACTTGATTGCTAGATAAGCGCCCATCATCCAGCCTCCTCGTACTGAGATATCTGTGGTGAATATATGAAAAGCGTATACTTTGAGCAGCTGTGTCACCTCAATCTATCTGGGCAGAAATAAATGTAAAATACGGGGGCTCATCAGCCGAAAAATGACCCACCGAACGCCGTGTCCCGCTCAGCCCTCACGTCATCGGGCATGTAGTGTAGTGGTTATCGCGTCTCATTTGCATGTTTGCGAGTTGAGAAGGTCCCCAGTTCAATTCTGGGTTTGTCCAATGTTTTTTCACCTCTATCGGCTACACTAAACACGTGAATACATCCCGACGAAGGATAGACACACTGATTTACGGGGACCGACGATTTGGCCAGAGGCTCTAATGTTTTGGATTCTACAGTTGTCTTTCATCATTGTTAGCGCTCGCTGACCATTATCCAAGTCCCACAGCTCACCATCTTATTATTATTGTTTTTATTTTAGGTTTCAATCTTGTCCGTTTGGCCTCCCCTCACATGCTTACTAGTAGTTTGCCCCCCCGTTCAATTCCGTTCAATTCCACCTTGTTCTACTCAATATCATGCTTACTTGGCTTGCGTTGCGCATATATACACTAATGACTGGAACGAATGCCGGATACAGGTCATGAAGCGTCATCTGTAGTCTACAAATCAACCGAACAGCTCTTAAATATATCATCAAGTAGTCTCGAGATGTTTAGAAAAAGCTCACGCGCCAACAGCGGTCGTTGGACAGGGACCGAGTAAACTCGAAGTGCGGCGAACAATGGCAACAGAGAGCTCCCGGGAGTAGCGCTTACTGCAACGCGGATATTCCCTGAATCCAAACGCCACATAGACAACACGTGAATATATTCACAAAAGTCCCAGCGCACGTCTATTTTCAGTCTAAACAAGTAAGGCTATGTGACCAGCCGTGTATTTTTTATGCTGCATAGCATCCGCCGATGCGCGTCGATAGCTAGCCGCTCTCCGACCTAAGTTGCCCGATAGTTTGGTTTATCCCGTCCATTATTTTGCACTCTATGTCGGGATATGGCCCACCAAAGATCCACGACACCCACCCCTCTGTCTCGCAAGTTACATTTGGCCAAAGACTGTATAAAAACCTAGTCGCCTTTCAATAACAGAAGACAGGGTCAAGAAGATAGTAGGAACATACTTGGCTGCGCCGGAAGCATTCGTGAATTCTCCCCCTGTAGGACCAGTGTAGCATGGACACCGGATAGTGATAGGCTGTGTCGCAGCCTTTTCGGCTGACGGTTCTACCTCGTCAAACCTTATCATCAACAAGACGAGCAGCCGTAGGTTCGGGAGTAAATGTGCAAACGACGGTAAATGACTTGACTGAAGCATCTGTAGCTCAAGGTGGAGCTCCTCCAGCTGTGGCACGGCAAGAAGAAAGTCGCGCCAGTGAACCTCCAGGCGCAAGTGTCCATAGGGGCGAGTAAGAATATTAGTGTCCAAGCCTACAGTATCGGGCCAGGACTGAAGACGAACTCTCCCAAGCCTGAGACGTCGCAATGGCATCTGCCTGAACACATCCAATGCACCGGGTATGAAAATTGCGAAGTATGCGTGGTTCCAGGGTGTGAACAGAGTAAGATCAACTAGACGCAAGCTATTTGTACCAATGCAGTGAAGAGCTAGCCCCGAACGCAAGCAGTGGTTCGTTTGCTCCTCATAAAATCCATCGTCAAGGAAAATGATAGCAGCCTTGGTCAGTTGACTGAAGAGAGAAGAAAGTCCGTCTATGCGCTGAATATCCAAGTCATCTATTCCACGAAACTCTAGTTGACGAAGCGACGGGAAAAGGTCATCGGATATACTTATTTCGCTGTGTTCACCTTGTCTCTGTTGGGAACCATCGTTATGAAGTGTGAGCACCTCGAGATATGAGAGCCGGCCAAGGACATCAAACAGCTCCTGATCCAAATTAGTCGTGCCGAGCGCTAACACTGAGAGTTGTGTGAGCCTAGCGATTCCACTAAGGATTCTACTGTGATAAATCGTCTCCGAGCCACTAGATGCGGCTGGGAATATCCGCAAGGTGTTGATCCACAGGCATGTGACAGCCATGCTACCGAGTAGCTCCGAGCAAGTTTCCTGGGGTAGCCAGGAGTGCTCGCTGCGCGGATCATCCCCAGAGCTCCTGTTGAGATCAATGGAATGCATCTCGAAACTAAGTAGACCAGGAGTAAGTAGCTTATGTGTCCATTCAACTTGGCTTGGGGGGATAGAGCCGTAGGTATTGACAACCAAACGTTGCAAGTTTGGCAACCAGGGAGAAGTTAAGTCATCAGCTGGCCACCCGTCGGGGAAGTCGAGGACGTATGGCATAGTGGCCCTAACTACTTTCACAAGGCGGGAGTAGAGCTGGAGCCGACTTGTATCAGCAATCCTAGGAAAGATAAAAATCTAGGCAGGGAAATATTTGAGACCAGACTATAACACTGCTCGACACGAGCTTACACGTTTATATTCCATACCCGCTCGACTGAGACACTTTTCAGTATGTTCAAAACAGTTTACTCCAGGGATAAGAAGCAAAAGACGCGTCATGTCAACATCCTCCCAGAGAATCGGTGATATGCATGCGAAACTGCGACGAGATGAACGGAGCAGGCTGGCCAAATCGCGCTTGGTGGAAAAGTCACTGATAAGGCGAACTAGCTCAGGTGTCAACAGAGTCCGAGAGCACGAGCTGAGCTGAGCTGAGCCCCTGTTTGGCGCCAAGAGAGACCAGTATCGTTGAGTTCGAAAAGTATCTTGGAGAGAAAACATTGGTAGATGATTAGAACGGCTAGTCTTAACGAGGCTGCACGTCGAGGCCAGCTGTGTTCAAGAGGGACGAGGTGGGTAAGCTGATTAAACAGGCGCACAACACGGGATTATATACACGGATAGGAGTTAGGAGGTCGAACCCCTGACCGTCGAGTCGATCCGCGCTACGCTACCTTCGCTGACGCATCGGGGAGATATGATAAGGCTATTTCTTCGCAACGAGTGGTTTTACTAGAACACTACGAGCTAAGGTGCGGGAATTGGTTCAGCCAAACTGAAGGTTGGGCTATAGAAGTTAACTTTTAAGCCGAGATCAGGTCATATTTAGCGCGTGATCGTTAGACCCTTTGGGAAACACCACGTAGCACAACTACTATAAAGGGACGGGCCGCTGTACAAGATTAATCTACTGTCTTAAACTTGAGTTGAAAATTTGCCCACTTGTAACACTAAGCTGGACTTGAGACACTTTCATTTGCCATGCTGTTTTACATCCTGATATAAATATTTGATCTGGTGCAACTTATCTCCGCCGTCTGATTTGGTTCCACTTTATTTACGCATATTTGTAGCCACATCACGAAGTGTCATGATGCCAGCTCGCGTTCCATATTTGAAGTGTTGCCGGCCGCACATCTATGTTCATTTCCCCCCTGTAGTATATACGGTCCCGCCCAATGTCCGAGGTTCGAGTTCGCTCCAAAACTGGGTGCTTGACTTGCAAGAATAGGTGGGTTCTGACTTAGAAGCGAGCCCCTCTGAAGTTTGAATGCCGCCGCCCGATCTACAGACGTAAAAAATGCGATGAGACGCGCCCAGCGTGCGTACGTTGTAGGCGTGCTGGCATGCAGTGCCTTGGCTATTCTTACCTCGACGATCCCGTCCCCAAACCCATACGACAAAGGAGACACATCTTCGCTGGTTACTCTCCGGGAATAATCTACTCTGCTCCATCTGAAAGTCGACCTTGCGTTCTTGCTTCTGAAGCTGATCCCACTTCCTCGACTCAATCTTCCTTAGGACATGACGCTCCCCACATGGATGAAATGTGGCCCCCCGATCCACAGGGTGACTCTAATCAAACCTCTCTAGAGCAGCTTGATCTCATTACGGCACGTGAAAATGCAATCAATAACATTCTCTGGTCTGAGGTATCCTCACCCGCGAGAGTGGATTCCCAGAGCTTGCCAGCTCGTAACGACCTACTGGAAACAGGCTTTGGTGTCCCTGCTGTGCCTCTAGAATCGATTCGCCTCGATTCAACTGGACCATTCGATCCAAGCCCTGACCACAACCTCGGTGCTCCACCACCTCAGACTCTGACCTCGCGTAACAATGCTTCGAGCCTAAGCACTCTAGATACCTCAAACAATGATTTCAGATATATGACTGCTGGACAAGCAGGTTTCTTCCAAGCTCTATCTACTCCTGAGGACCCTCGGGATCAAACCGTGTCCCCTTCTAATTTCTCTTCACAAACCTATTCCAGCTCCGAGGGTTCAATGCAACCACCCCCAATGGTGGAATACGATGACGACTCCTCCGATGGTAGTGAGGATCTCAATACTGAAGGTATCATGGTTAAAGTTGGGTCGACGTTGGCTCTAGATCGAAACGTAGCGAGTAACTCGTTGCCCTACGTGATTTCAAGCTGTACGAGATCTGTCCCCTCGGCTCCTACTATTTTAATCCTTAACATTTTTCAGATTTTCGATGGATCATTCGAGTTGTGTTCGAGCCGTTAAAGCTGGTAGAGCGAATGGAATACCTTCTTAACAAACGTTACGCGTCGGATGACCTTCGCTACGCAACTACGCTTGTCGCCGATATAGTCTATTGGCTGGTGAATAACCCGACGAGTGGTGAAGGTTTCCTAGCATTATCATGTCTTCAAGCTCGTATTGACCACAAGATTGCATTGGTCAACGCCAACAAAGAGCTTCTCTCCGAGATATGTGGGCATGAGGCACTGAGTACACTGTTGTATGAAATCGAGGAGGTAGGTAGTACGCGCAGTTATTGGCATCCGTTAATGCGACCGGCACTAGATAATATGCATTCAATCTTTTTCAACAACTCTGGCGCATACAATCAGGCTACACAAGTCAGCCGCCCTCGTGTATCGGTACACATGTCCCGAACCTCCTGGCATGCCCATCCACCTCCCAGCCAAACTCCTACAGTCAGATTCTAGACACCGCGGTTTTCCCGCAATGGATATTTTGCTGAGCTTAAGTACCTGCCAGCCTATGCTTTTTCGATACGACGTAACGCCACTCTCCGAGCCTTTCGAACTCGATAGCCACAGTCCTGGCATCCAATGGATGCATGGCATTCCTGATCAATTTCTTATTATGCTAGCTCGGATGAATATGCTTCGTGAAGACTCTGCACCGAATATAGATCCCGATATAATAAGTGATCTCGAGACCCAGATTTCAAGCTTCGAGCCCGCATTTGACAGATCTACCGACTC